ACAACATTGATTTCATTACAGGAAGTCTGTTTCTATACATCCCGGTGAGGGCGCTGCAAGCGCAAGAAGATAGTGATTGTGACGTCATAAGTCGGCGGTCCCTTCGTTTTAGGTCTATGGTTTTAAATAGAAAAAATATACACATGTATGTAATAATTTTTTTTTTTTGATTTTAAAATAAAGCTTTAACAGAACTGAATATATACTTGTTCTTTATATAATACTACACGCGTATATAAATTATTTTTAATTGATTGATCTATAGAAAAAAATATGACTATTCGCGCTTAATATATTTTTATTCTTAGTAATAAGAAAATTAATGTACATTGTTTCTTATTTATTAAATTGTAGATCTGTCGTTAAAACGTCTGCCTTAGAAGAGAAATATCAGTAAACAAAAAACAAATTACGTGTAATTAATTAAAAAAATTAAAGAAAAAGAATTTAAAAATAATTTACAGGGCATAGAAGACTTGTTTGTTTGTTTGTTTTTCTTTTTTCTTATGTAAATCTTTAATTATTCTGAAAATCTTTGATTATTCTGAATTTAGATACGAAAATCGACAGCAGAAACTCGGAATCAATAAAATGACTTACGGGTGTTTTTCTCGTAACAGAAAACATTTCTTTTTAGAAACTAGCATTATGTTTTTAAGTAAATAAGTGTGTAAATACATGTACAATATTGTGAATGAGAGAGAGAGAGAGAGAGAGAGAGAGAGAGAGAGAGATGCAACCCCTTGTTTCTTAATTTGTAAAAAATAAATGTATTTATTCTCATTCTCCGCTTTATTTACATCGCCAAAGTCACATCTAATCAGTCTATGATGCTATTTAATTTCCACAACTTTCGTTCAAACTCAACCTATTTACAACTATTGCGCAATGCATTCGTTCTCTGCACATGCACGAAATCCTTGTGCATCACTTGTCAGTCAAAATCGCATGAGTGACCCTGAGAGTCTGTTTACGCGGAAAGAATTTCTCTTGTGATTTGAAACATTTTTATGGTCAGTTCACACCTGTTTAAAAAATATTGGGTCACAGCCAGAGGGCCGTGGTGCCGTGTAATTAACACACCTTTTAAATTATTTAGCTTTGACCACATCAAGTGTACATGTACATGCATTTTTAAAACTCGCTCAACTGACATCCAGCGAAACTCATCTTACAGGTTTCACCACAACACTGATTAGAAATTTTCTTCCTAAAATATCCATTTCAGACACAATTAGATAAGCATGAATCCCTTAATTATCAGTTTACTTTAAAAAAAAAAAAAAGTACAATAGCGTCACATAAATACGCAGACTTTTGATGAGTTTTTAGTAGCTACATTGTAATTAGTATCGCCTTCTAGAAAGGGGGGGGGGGGTATCAAACATAATGTGGCTTGAAAGAGGATTGCGAAAAATCATTGTCTTTTTTATTTTCATTTTATTTTGTAAATTATCCTTTTCCAGACACAAATAAGCAGGTGTCCTGTAGATTATGATTTTTTTTTAAATTTACAACAACCAAACATTTTGCACACTTCTAAAGAACTTTTAACCTGCTCATTCGTATCGTTTTCATGAAAGGGGATGGGGGTACAGAGTAACAAACCTTATAATATCTATAATTTTTCGCAATTTTTTTTTTTTTTTTTTTTTTTTTGTATGCAGCTTGTAAGTTGATCACAATTTTATTAGACAGATTATCATCTCTATCCGTTCAGTAGAAATCTTCCTGTTTACCGCATGTAATATTTTAATCCATTTTTGACATAATTACAGTTTTTCAGTGTAAGTCTAACTGCATCAATTGTGCCGTCTTGTAATCCGGAATTTTTTCTTCCGGCATGCCTTGGTTTTCTTTTTTGTTTGTATTTGTTATTTCCGTGCGTGTTGCACGAGATTTTTTCTGTCACTCGTCGCCTTACTCAGTACATGTACAGTCATACTGTTGTAACAGTTGTTTACTCTGCCCACAATGTAAGTATTTCTCATATATTTAACTTCTTACAGTTATTTGTGTAATGCTTATCTACTTTCGGCAAAGTATTTCTATCTTATGTGTGTGAATTTACTGTTAAATTTTACCGGGAATTTTGAGTGGCTAAATTTTTCATGTCTTGTCAATGTATGCAGATATTTGTAAAGTAATGCTAATTTTACACACACATTTATCTCAGTATTGTGTCATATTTATTGAGCAAAGGTATTTTTTCAGATTTTTTATTAATTTTCTGAACTTTGAGCATTGTACATCACTCTTATTATTGTTTTTGTCTATTGTAGCTTTTCACCGTTTCGTTTCGTTATGTTTCGTTTCGTCTCAATAAATCATAAGAACAACGGTTAACTAGCTGTGGTTATTAATGGAGGCAGCATAGTGAAAAGATTGGTGAAAACATTCCAGAGTTTCAACTACACAGGCATGGCTCATAACCTGGGGAAGATTTCTACAGAGGACGAAGATACGTCACGTAGAGTGCACACCCTCACACAGAAAGCACAAGAACAATATCAAGAAAAAGTTCAGAGGTATAAAGACATACTTTTACGCTTCTCAGAGGATACTGAAAGTGTATTGATAGAATGTGCTTCATCAGCAAAAGAGATCTACGCATTAAAGTCAGTGAAAGAAAAACTTGAGGACAGTTTCAAGCGTTACAAAGATTATCATGAAGAATTTGGTGATTACCTCAATAGAAAACACACAGCTGATAGTACACAAGAGTTAGACACTATACGGAAGAATTTTAACGAGATAAATAAGAAGGTTCAAAACGCTTTAGTGAAAGTACAAGATGATATTGATTTGGTCCAGTTGGAAGTGAACTCTAACCCATCTCATAGGACAGCAAGTTCTAAATCATCAACGCTTAGTAGACGTTCACAACAGAGAGTGGAGGAAGCTAAAACCCGCCTTAAAATTGCTGAACAGTCTGCAAAACTGAAAAAACAAAAGTCCAAAATCACCTTAGAAGACAAAATCCACAAAGCTCAAAGTCAACAGCAACAGGAAGATATAGATGTGGAATTGGATCTACTGCAAAAACAGGAAGAACTGGACATTGCAAATATGCGTCTTAAATTTGAACTTGAAGAGGAGGAAGAAACCACGGAACATCAAGATTTAAAACCCAGTGTTCCTAGTGTATCTGGTGAGCAGAAAACAAGAAACTTTGTTGACAATCTCACATTGAACCCTAATGCTGAGCCTTTCATATTCAATAGTGGAACTCGTACAAACCATCTTCAGAGAAATGTTGACAATTATTGTTCACCGCTGCTACAGATACCAACGCAGTCTACGGTGAATTTACCATCACAGAACTATTCAGATGCCTCGAATTTCCTTCTCAAAAAGAACTTACTGTTGGAAAGTTTTCAACAACAGCGTTTTGATGACAAACCAGATCGATATGTAGTGTGGAAAATACAGTTTAAGACGATGGTGTCAGAAATAAGGTGTTCACCACTGGAAGAATTAACTCTTCTCACCAATTGTACAAACAAAAACTCAGAAGCTAACAGACTGATTATGAGTCTTAGAGCTTCATGTGCGAGTAATCCAGAACTATGCTTATTCAATATCTGGAAACGTATGGACGAAAGATTCGGATCGCCTGAATTGATAGAATCAAGCCTGAAATCTCGTCTGCAAACTTTAACAGATTTCACAGACCACAAGAAGTTATATGAACTACATGACCTACTTTGTGAGGTACAGGCCGTGAAAGCTATTCCAGAATACAGTGTGATGTTTTCATACCTTGATTCATCTCTTGGATTGAAACCTATAGTTCAACGACTTCCTCGATATCTCCAGGAGAAGTGGATTAATCGTGTGGTTCATTACAAGAAAGAACACTGTGTAATCTTTCCTCCTTTCAGTGAGTTTGTGGCATTCATTGGTGAGATGAGCATCATCAGAAATGATCCTGGGTTGATATTTGATGATTCTAATAAGGAGAACCGCCTTGATCGCAAAGGACAAAGTAAAGTTAAACCTACCGTGTTCACCCACAAAACTGACATTTCATCAGAAACAGTGAATGGCGGACATCAGTGTTTGATTCACCAAGGATCTCGACATACTATAAACAAGTGTAAAGCTTTCAGAACCAAAAGTATGGAGGAACGCAAACACATTCTACGAGATCATAACATTTGTTTTCGTTGCTGTGAAACGTCATATCACTTCGCTAATCGATGTAAATCCAAAGTTTTGTGTGATGTGTGTAAAAGTACCTACCACTGTACAGCTCTTCATGAGGATGTTAGTAACCGTCAGATGTCCAGGAATTCTTCTTCCCGACTAAATCATGGCGAGGAGGAAAACTCACTTTCTGAAAATGTGAAGCAGTCAGTTTCTTCTAACTGTACTGATATTTGTGGTGAATTTAGTGGAAAGTCATGTGCAAAGATTGTACCAGTGCGTGTATATGTTCAAGGTCAACGTCAAGCATCGATTGTGACTTACGCTATGTTGGATGACCAAAGCAACAAAACTCTAGGTAAAAGTTACCTTTTTGACTCTTTGTGTATCAAAACTCTGCCAGTTGACTACACAATGCAATCGTGTTCAGGCAAGGTTACCAGAAGTGGGCGTGTTGCTGACAACCTTGTCATCGAGCCAATCAGTGACAATCGTCAGTTGAAATTACCACCTGTCTTGGAGTGCGACAACATACCAAACAGTCAGACGGAAATTCCTACACCGGATATCGCTCGTCATTATCCACACCTGCAGGATATTGCTCGAGACCTACATCCGTTTGATCCATCTATGGAAGTCCTACTGCTTATAGGACGGGATCTTCCAGAGGCACATCACGTTATTGTTCAGAGATTAGGACCACCACGTTTTCCTTTTGCTCAACGATCTCCTTTAGGATGGACAATTATTGGAGATGTTTGTTTGTCTGGAAAACACATTCCACCATTACGTGTCAACAGAACTTTCATCGATAAAAGTGGTCGACCTACAATGTTGGAACCATGCAAACAAAAGTTAAACATCCAGAACACTGTTATCACTACTAACAAGACTGTTATTGGAAAAACAGATATCTTCAAGAAAACACCAGATGACAATAAACTCGGCCTCTCGATTGAAGATCGCACTTTTCTGAAGATTATGAACGACAAGTTTCATCTTGATCCAACCGAAGGAAAATGGACTGCTCCATTGCCCTTCCGGCAAAATCGTGAACAACTTCCAGACAACTACTCACAAGCATTGTTTCGTGCTAAATGTCTTGATGCCTCCTTAAGAAAAAACAACGTCAAGAAGGAACATTTCATTACATTTATGCAGAAAATATTTGACTGTGATCATGCAGAATTGAGTCCATATATACTACCGGATAAGGAACATTGGTACCTTCCACTTTTCGGAGTCTACCATCCTCATAAACCGGATCAAATTCGTGGTGTCTTCGACTCCTCAGCGGAATTCAAGGGTGTGTCCTTGAACCAACAGCTGTTACAAGGACCTGACTTCATAAACAATCTCCTGGGAATTCTCATTCGTTTCAGGAAGGAAAGAGTAGCCGTAGTTGCTGACATTCAAAGCATGTTTCACTCATTTCTGGTGGATGAAGGCCATCGTGACTATTTACGTTTCTTGTGGCATTAGGATAATGACTTTGAAAAACCACTGGTTACTTACCGCATGAAAGTTCACGTATTTGGCAATCGCTCCTCTCCTTCCGTGGCAATGTATGGTTTACGTCACATTGGTGAGCTAGCTGCTAAGACCCATGGACAGGAAGTGAAAGACTTCATTGTGAACGACTTTTACGTAGACGACGGCTTGAAATCTTGTGCAACTATTTATGAGGCAATCAGCCTCATACACAAAACTCAAGATGCCATGAAGGAGTATGGTAACATAAGACTTCACAAATTCGCATCTAACGTCAAAGAAGTTATGGAAGCCTTTGATTCTAATGACCTTGCCAAGAACCTTGTTGACCTGAATTTCGATAAGGATGCCTTAACTCAAAGCAGTCTTGGACTTCTGTGGGACTTACAGACAGATACCATTAGATTCAAAGTTTCTAGTGAAAACAAACCGTCTACAAGGAGAGGTGTACTTTCTGTTGTGAACCGTCTTTATGATCCTCTCGGATTCATCGCCCCCGTTATTATTCAGGGCAAGATTATTTTGCGGAAAGTAGTGTCAGACACGTCAGACTGGGATGAAGCCCTACCTGATTACCTATTTGAAGAATGGGAGAAATGGAAGAATAACTTACCCGACTTGGAAAAGTTACAAATTCCTCGAGTGATTGTTCCTAATCTGAGCGAAGCACACAGGAAAGAACTACTCATTTTCTGTGATGCATCCGAACTAGCCATAGCTGCTGTTTGCTATTTAAAGGCGCACTATCCCGATGGTTCTACTTCTCAAGGCTTCGTTTTAGGGAAAGCAAAAGTGGCCCCTGTCAGTGGACATACAATCCCTAGACTAGAACTTTGTGCCGCGGTACTTGCTGTGAATGTAGGACAAACAGCAAAAGAACAGCTAAAGATAGAAATAGACGATGTGAAATATTTTAGTGACAGTCGGATTGTGTTAGGATACATAAACAATGCTAAGAAACGATTTTTTGTGTACGTCGCTAATCGTATTGCTCACATTCTCAGTCTAAGTGATCCGTCACAATGGTCCTACATACGTAGTGAAATTAACCCAGCAGATGTTAGCACGAGAGGAATTCTCCCGAGGGAAATGCAGAACTGTGTCTGGATCTCTAACCTAGAAAAAACAGACATCATACCTTCTGAAGAACATTTTCCTCTTGTGAGTCCCGAGGAAGACAAGGAAATCCGCTGTAACAAAACTGACATTGAGACAAAATCAGCTTACGGCCTGAGCAATGATTTCCTCACAAAATTCTCAAAGTGGAACAAACTTGTAGCAGTGGTTGCTAAAGTTTATGGATTTATTCAGAAGTGTCGTAAAGCAGAGAGCATGTTGAGTGATGTTGACCTTCTGTGCAAAGCTGAAATGGTCATTATCAGAGACATTCAGCAGAATTTCTATTCTGAGGAAATTGAAAACTTACAGGACTCTAAACCTTTGTCAAAAAACAGTCCTATTCAAAAACTAGACCCGTACATTGACAGTGAAGGCATTTTACGTGTTGGTGGTCGTTTGCGAAACCTCAGTGCTGATGCTTCATTCAAGAATCCAATGATTCTACCTGCAAAACATCATGTAACCACTCTTATCGTCAGAAAACTTCACTCAGATGTCAAACACCAAGGACGTCATATTACAGAGGGTCATATTCGTTCATCTGGATTTTGGATCGTCGGAGGTAAAAGACTTGTGTCATCTGTCCTCCATAAGTGCGTCACTTGCAAGAAGCTTAGAAAAGTACCAGAATACCAGAAAATGTCTAACTTACCTGAGGATCGTCTCATACCAGGACAACCACCCTTCTCTAACGTTGGAGTTGACATTTTTGGACCGTGGAACATTATTACACGACGTACCAGAGGTGGCGCAGCAAACAGTAAAAGATGGGCTGCTCTATTCACTTGCCTCGTTACCAGGGCTGTACATATCGAAGTCATAGAGGAAATGACATCATCTTCATTTATAAATGCGCTCCGTCGATTTATCGCCATACGTGGGCCTGTTCACGTCTTTCGATCTGACAGAGGAACAAATATCATTGGCGCTGCTAAGGAGTTAAAGGTCAATGTGATAAATGTAGAGGATGAACATCTCCACAACTTTCTCAACGAGCAGAGAACAACGTGGATCTTCAACCCTCCCCACTCCTCTCACATGGGAGGAGTGTGGGAACGTATGATTGGGATCACCAGACGTATACTGGATGCTATGCTACTTGACTACGGATCTAGGAGTTTAACGCATGAGGTGCTCACTACATTCCTAGCAGAAGCTTCATCCATAATCAACTCAAGACCCCTTGTGTCGGTACCTACAGATCCTGAGAATTCATTTGTGTTATCCCCATCAACTCTACTCACTCAGAAAACAAGTGTTAAAGACAACAAACTGTTCTCTGATCATGTTAACAAGAGCGAGTTGTTACAGACACAGTGGAGGAGGGTACAACACTTAGCATCCATTTTCTGGAGACGATGGAAGACAGAATACTTGAACACTCTTCAGATGCGCCGTAAGTGGAATCTACCCCAAAGAAATCTATCATCCGGTGATGTGGTGTTACTTTGCGATAAAGAACTACCCCGTAATTCTTGGCCAATGGGAATCGTTGTCAAGTCTCTACCAAGTGATGATGATCTAGTGCGTAAAGTGATAATTCGTACTATCGTGAATGGTGAACCCAAAACTTATGTGCGCCCCGTTACGGAACTTATTGTTCTTGTGGAACAGTGAACATTTCTGTCATTCAGTGCAACAGATATTACAAGAGACTGTAAATTGACTGTAATTTAATTTATTACATGTTTACATTATCTTAAATATCTATTTTGAAATTTGATGATATTATTAATATCAGGCGAGGAGTGTGCCGTCTTGTAATCCGGAATTTTTTCTTCCGGCATGCCTTGGTTTTCTTTTTTGTTTGTATTTGTTATTTCCGTGCGTGTTGCACGAGATTTTTTCTGTCACTCGTCGCCTTACTCAGTACATGTACAGTCATACTGTTGTAACAGTTGTTTACTCTGCCCACAATGTAAGTATTTCTCATATATTTAACTTCTTACAGTTATTTGTGTAATGCTTATCTACTTTCGGCAAAGTATTTCTATCTTATGTGTGTGAATTTACTGTTAAATTTTACCGGGAATTTTGAGTGGCTAAATTTTTCATGTCTTGTCAATGTATGCAGATATTTGTAAAGTAATGCTAATTTTACACACACATTTATCTCAGTATTGTGTCATATTTATTGAGCAAAGGTATTTTTTCAGATTTTTTATTAATTTTCTGAACTTTGAGCATTGTACATCACTCTTATTATTGTTTTTGTCTATTGTAGCTTTTCACCGTTTCGTTTCGTTATGTTTCGTTTCGTCTCAATAAATCATAAGAACAACGGTTAACTAGCTGTGGTTATTAATGGAGGCAGCATATCAATGATTCGCCGAGTAATTATCTTAGCAGAATTAATGTGCGAGTCTAATACGATTTTATTTTACACTAGACAGTTCATATATGTTTTAAAAATTCTTACAAAATTAATGATTAATTAGTAAAATCACGCATCTGATATGAACTACATATGAATGCACACTTACGGCAAAAAGGATCACGTATCTGATTCAATAATTTAAATGGACAAAATTAAAATCTTAAGTCAAGAAAACCAGGGAATTAGTTTAAACATCTGTATAGTTTAATTACGAATATTAAAGTACAACGGATATTTAAGAAAGAAGTTGATTTCATTTGCTCTAATAAAGAAAATGAAAATATTTATTATCAGATCCGTAATGGGGAACTGTGATACACCTCGTTACATGGTGTCCACGATCGCTGACATCAAGGATGCCGACATCGAGTTCGAGGTTCACGGTGCCACGTGTTCTGCGGGAAAAACCCGTGGTCTGTACTGTACCTTTGATCACAAACACAACGAGTTGATCTAATTGATAGCATATAAGGAATCGTCTCAAACTCTGTCTAGTTGTTTTGAAGTTGTTTATTTCGAGTGGTTTCCTTTTTTTCACAGTTGAAAGCCCAGATGCATGATACTTGATAATGATGTTTCGATCAGCCAGACACAAACTCCCTCCTCCTTTCACGGGCGCTATTGCGAAAAATAAACCAAAATGACTTATTTGGTCATTGCACAGTTCAAAAATCATTGGGGCGTGGTTTGCATAATTAACCAAAGAACGGTACGGTTCGTTTCTTGCACGGAACGGTACGCTTTGTGGACGGTACGGTACGCTTTGTGCACGGAACGGTTCGCTTTGTGCACGGAACGGTACGCTTTGAGCACGGAACGGTTCGCTTTGTGGACGGTACGGTACGCTTTGTGAACGGAACGGTTCGCTTTGTGCACGGAACGGTTCGCTTTGTTCACGGTACGGTACGCTTTGTGCACGGAACGGTACGGTTCGTTTCTGAGGTTTAGTACTCCACTTGAACGGTACGGTTCGGTACGCTTTGTGCACGGAACGGTACGCTTTGTGAACGGAACGGTTCGTTTTGTGAACAGTACGGTACGCTTTGTGCACGGAACGGTTCGCTTTGTGCACGGAACGGTACGTTTTGTGCACGGAACGGTTCGCTTTGTGCACGGAACGGTACGCTTTGTGGACGGTACGTTTCGTTTCTTGCACGGAACGGTTCGTTTTGTGAACGATACGCTTTGGGAAACGGAATGCAAATGAAGTGGGCGGAGCCTGTTAGCTTTAATTCTTGATTGGCTGTTAAAAATTGATTCATTTTAAATGACTTTTTAAGTACTTCATGCACGTATATAATTATATTTCCGATATTAACAAATTAATTTCTCGGTTTCAATTTAAACATTAATGTACACTACAGCGGTGATGGAGGAAAAATGAAAAAAAAAAAAATGAAAAGAAGAAAAAACATCATCCCACCGATGTCTTTGGCATTATGTATAGATATGTATTAATATAATATTATATAGAACTCGTAAATATTTCCGTGCTTATTTTATACGTATGCTAAACCTTCATTTTAAAAAGGAACAAAAATTAAATGAAATATTTTTTCACTTTAAGATAAAGTTGTAACATAATTAAAAGGAATATTAATAATACCGGGTATGTACTTGTTCTATACATATAACGCTACGCATATATGTAAATTATTTTTAACTGATTGATCTATAGAAATAAATATGAATATTCCTGCTTTAATTTTATTCCTAGTAATTAGATGTGAACATTGTTTTTTATTTTGAAAAAAAATTGTAGATCTATCGTTTAAACGTTTGCTTAAGAAGAAAAATATCAGTAAACAAAATGAATATGAAAATCAGCAGCAGAAACACGAAATCAATACAATAACTTCCGAGCGCTTTCTCGTAACAGAAAACATTCTTTTCACAGACAAGTATTTATGTTTTCAATAATCCTTTCTGTGTATTAAGTAATTATTTTAATAAGTTTTTCTTTATTTTATTAAGTTATTTTATTCTTGTAAAGTCTGTAAAAACGATGTCGTGAATGAGAGAGAGAGAGAGGAGGGGATAGAGAGAGAGAGATGCAATCCCTTAATACATTATCTGTAAAAAAAAAGTTTTTATTCTCATTCTTCGTTTTATTTACATCTCCAAAGTCACAATTAATCAGTCTATGATTCTATTTAATCAACCCATTTACAACTATTGTGCAATGAATAATCCGTTCTCTGTACATGCATGCTGCACGCATGAAATCCTCGTGCATCACCTGTCAATCAAATTGGCATGACGCTAGGTGACCCTGAAAGTCTGTTTACGCAGGAAGAATTTCTCCTGTGATTTGAAACATTCTTATGGTCAGTTCATAGTTCACAACTGTTTAAAAAAAAATATTGGGTCACAGCCGGAGGGACGGGGGCGCCGTGTGTTTAACACACCTTTCAAATTATTTAGTTCTGACCACATCAAGTGTATTTAATCACTCAACTAACATCCAGCAAACTCATCTTCCAGGTTTCACCACAACACTGATTACAAATTTACTTCCTAAATTATCCTTTTCCAGACAAGAATAAATAAGCATGTATCCCTAAATTATAATTTTCTATTTTTTACAAATTAAAGCACAATTTAAAGTCACATAAATTCGCATAAGTATCGCCTTGTAGAGGGAGGGGGGGGGGGGTAACAAACATAATATGGCTTGAAAGAGGATTGATATTTTTTTTTAATTTCATTCTGTTTAGTAAATTATCTTTATTCAGACACTAATAAGGATGTTTCCTGTAGATTATGATTTTTTTTTATTTACAACAACGTACCATTTTGCAGACTTCTAAAGAACTTTTAACCAGCTAATGCGTATTGCTTTCTAGAAAGGGGATGAGGGTACAGTGTAGCAAACCTAATATTATCTTTATTTTTTCGCAAACTGTTTTTTTTTTCATTTTTCATGAGATGTATTTCAGAATGAAGTAATTATACTGCAGTTTGCACATTTTATTTGCAAGAAATTCGGCTCGTGATTTTTGTATGCAGCGTGTAAGTTGATCACAGTTTTATTAGTAAGATTATCATCTCTGTCAGTTCAGTAGAAATCTTCATGTTTACCGCATGTAATATTTTATTCAATATTTTACATGATTACAGATTTTTAGTGTAAGTATAGCTGCACCAATGATTCGCCTATAGTAAAAATCTTAACAGAATAAATGCGAAAGTCTTACACGGTTCTTTTTTAAATTTCACTCTAGACAATTTATATATGTTTTAAAATTCTTACAAAATAATTCATTAGTAAAGTCATGCATCTGATATGTACTACATATGAATGCATACTTACGACAAAAACGATCTTGTATCCGATAAGATTTAATAATTTAAATGAGCAAAATTAAAATCAAAAGTAGAGACAACCAAGGAATTAATTCATGAAAGCGTGTTCTATCTTAGTGTTAATATAGTCTATTGAACCTATTTTTATATCTAATATAATTATAGGATTATGAAACATGAATGTACATGTACACATTAAAAGAGGGTTTTTTTCCCCGGGCACGAGCACGATTATATTGAATTTTGGGGCATCTTATGATATTAGTTTAAATATCTGTATAATTAAATTATGAAAAATTTAAATACAACTAATATTTCAAAAGGAAATTGATTTAATTTGCTAATATAAAGAAAATGAAAGACTTCAAAGATGCCGACATTGTTCGAGGTCCACTGTGCCCCGTACGTGTTTTTGCGGGAAAACTCGTGGCCTGTACTGTACCTTTGACCACAAACACAACCAATTGATCTAATTTATAGCAAATAAGGAATCGTCTCACAATCTGTCTAGTTGTTTTAAAGCTGTAGTTTGCTTCGAGTAGTTTCCTTATTTTTACAGTTGAAGGCCCAGACGCATGATACTTGATAATGTTGTTTCGAGCGGGCAGACACAACCTCCGTCCTCCTTTCACAGGCGCCGTAGCGAGAAATAAACCAAAATGACTTATTTGGTCATTACACGATTCAAAAATCATTGGGGGCGTGGTTTGCATAATTAACCAAAGAACGGCACGGTTCGTTTCTTGCACGGAACGGTACGCTTTGTGGACGGTACGGTACGCTTTGTGAACGGAACGGTTCGCTTTGAGAACGGTACAGTACGCTTTGAGCACGGAACGGTTCGCTTTGTGCACGGAACGGTACGCTTTGTGAACGGAACGGTTCGCTTTCTGCACGGAACGGTACGCTTTGTTCACGGTACGGTACGCTTTCTGCACGGAACGGTACGGTTCGTTTCTGAGGTGTAGTAGCACGGTTTAGGGTCTGTATAAGGCTCAACTTGACCGCTCGTTGTACATATCGAGCACGCAATCAATATCGAACACACACGGTTTCAGAATGGACTCCCAACCCATTCATGTTAGCACGGGATTATATGAAATAGCTTGATTTACTGGGGAAATGGTATGATGAAGATATTAAAGTTACTGAACTAATGAATACTCATGTAACAAATTTTCAAGAATCGAAATATCTATTTATTTTTTTTTAAATAATTGTGTTAAGATGACAAGGCCCTAGTCAGCAGGAGTGGGTATCACTGTCTAATATAAAAAATTTGATGAAAATTGTGATTAAATCTGTCTTCAAAGACAAGGTTCGTCTCTAATATACATGACAATGGTTGTATTTTCTGTATGTACCGAAATGTGAGAAAATAATATTCAAAAAAGGCGACAAAAGGTTACAGTGGAAAAAAAAATGTAGCAAGGCTTAGAACATAACCTACTTATTCAGCCAATCAAATGCTTCCATTTCTCGCGAAAAATTTATTCTTCATGGTGAAGAATTCTTCTATTTTTGAAATATTTAACGGTGTATGATTGGACAGATTGGTTCACTTGACAGTTATATGGGTGTGTCTTCGTTGGTCTTTGTTCAGCACACAAAAAGATACTATTC